TAGGGGGGTGGAGGGGAGGATTAGCGCAGACCCTTTACTATGCAGTTTCGTGAGGTTAAACCCACCTGGACTGTGTGTCACACGCAGTACAGCTGACCGCACTCTGGCAGACGGACACAAGCTGTTTGAAATATTTACTCAAGCTGCCTGTTTGAACAGAAAAGTAAAGGCTAACTTCCTTGAATAACACAATTTACGACTTGTCGACTGTACACGGACGCAGATATGATATTGCAGTTTGACCTCGGTGTTAGAGACGGTCAACAGAAAACCGAAAATGAAGTCCTTCTCTTGGGTCTTCTGCTGTCTTGTTTGGAGACCCTGTGTTTCACAGTTATAAAAAAAAATGATATATAACATACTACTCAGAGGATCAAAAATCCAAAGCTAGCAAATGAAGCCCATAGTACTCCGTAAAGTAAGTACTAAAATATTCGACTCAAGTAAAAATACTGTTATACAGATGAAATTTTACTTAAGTACTGGTAAAATTACTGGTCAAAAAATCCTCTCAATTAAAAAAATTACAGTTTTTAATTAATGCTTTAAAATGCTTATATACACGAAAAAAACTACTCAATTACAGTAATCTGAGGAAATGTAATTCGTTACCTCCTGTGAGTATTAAACGTAGGTTTTATTGGCTGAGCCTTGTAAGCACATACAACGAAGAGTGCAGTCAGCGAGTACTGCAGTACAACACTACAGATGCTCTTAAACAAACCTCAACTATCTCACTAATGTCACATGACTACGCAGTACTCCTTAAGGGTTTTCTACCATTTACTTAACTACCGTCCGAACGTCCATGTCTGTTACTGCGGCCTCACCTGTTTAACTGTCTGTCCGTGTGTTCATAAGCTTGTATTGCACATGTTGATCTCGTACCGTATCAAATATTTTTTAAGGAAAGAAAGAAAAAAAAAAAGCCTAAAATGGGTGTCGACATCCTTTTCATTTGTTTACTAAAAGCCACGACTACTACAGCTATCAAATAAGCTTCGGTAGTTTTTGGTCAGTCTGCCTTGATAACGGCAGGGAGCACTGTTACACAGTTTACACTGTTAGTACTTTTTAATATTTATGTATTTATTTGACCCAAACGATTGCACTCACTTTGACCTATTTTCTATTGTTTGACCTAGCAGCATTGTAAGGAACTGTTAATAAAACCATACTTATTGTCTATTGAGTTTTCTACACTCTGTGTCTGGGACGCGAGAGCATCAAGTTACACAGCTGCAAACGGAGGGGGGCGGGGGGGAGCAAAACAAAATGGTTAATATTTCTTTGAGTCATCCGAGCGGTTTTCTGTGGCCGACATGAGCAACAAAACGTCTTGTGTTGTTGTGTCGTGTTGTGTTGGCAGACCGTCCTGAGGTCAGAGACGCTGCCTGCTCGACACAATGTCAGCATTCTTGGGTCAGACTGGGTTTCAGCGGTCACAAATAACACGCCACGCAGTTTTGGCCCTCGCTGTTACTTGTGTATGAAATAGTCAGAACATGGAAGTGAACGTAGAAGTGCTTAGAATAGTAAAACAATCCAGTGGCCCATCTTCTCTTTGCATTTTTGTCTCATCCTAATCTCGTTTTGATGTAGTTCCCATTCTCTCCACTAGAAGGTAGTACTGTTCTTGATAGAAAAGAGTAGCTAGGGTTAATTTGGTGCTTTACCAAAATATATAAATATGTCAGGATGACATGAAAAATAAATGACACACAAAAAATAGTACGTTATTGTGTAATAAAAAAAATATATTTCTTTAATTGATATTTTAAAAAAATAGGATGTTTACATCCTAAAAAAAAAACAAAAGTCTTATTGTTGCCTAGAGAGCTATGATCTAAGAAAAATGTTCCTTATTATTCAGAATATAATAAGAAAAAAATAAGAGTGGAAGAGTGAAGTGTCTTTATGATTGTAAAGTGTCTCTCCTGGAGGACATGAGGCATTCAGCAGTCATCAGACAGGCTGTGATTAGCAGGGAAAATCCACCGTTGATTATTCACAATGCCATTTCTTGTGACTAAGTATCTACTTGTGCAGCCATGCATGTGTGTGTGTGTGTGCACACATGCCTGTGCAGGTGCTAAAGCCCTTCAAAACATTGCTTTAAACTTTATGTAACGCTGGTGGCTCCTTCGTGCAGTCACTCGGCTCAAACATACCTGACATTGTTCAAGGCTTTAAGCGTGAGTGGTGGCGGCAGAACGTGTAAAGTGTTCTGGGGAGACCAGTTTGGCAGGAACGTTCAGGAGTGATTTATAAGCAAGCTTAATATTATATATATATATATATTTGACTGGCTGCACTCAGCAGCCGACTGCTGAAGCTGGTGTGCTGTGTGAAAATCTAAAAATGTAAATGGAGGCAGAGGTGTTAAAGGTACAGACAGACAGTGAGACATATAGGTAGACACAGAGAGAGGGAGGAAGGCTAGTGAGAAGAGCAGCAGCCCCTTTGATGTGGGCCTCTGCTGCATGGGCCCTGTGTGTGTGTGTGTGTGTGTGT